TCCAATTTGTCTATGGGGACCAAGGCCACCACTTGGCTGCAATTAATCTATGGGGGCCAAAGCCACCATTGGCCACCCCCTGGCTCCAATTAATCTATGGGGGCTAAGGCCACCTTTGGCCACCCCCTGGCTCCTCCACTGCACTTGTTTATGGAAAATATTACTCCCCCCACTCGCCAGAGTCCATCACTTGAATATCGCAGGTTTACTTGAATTCTCCGTTCAGTTCCAGTCCAGAAAAACTACAAACATTCAATATTCAAATCCCTCAGCGATGGGGGGGACACGGATGAACCGCGTGATATTAATTAAAATTCACCACCGGGGTGGCTTTGAGACTGTGACGTTCAAGGCTGAGCCTCTGAAACTCACAAACCGTTATGAGCCTCAGTCAACACGTCAAGACTCCCTGATGGATGCTGACCAGTCCCTGACGAGTCTCAGCTCAGGCTGATACTGGTTTTAAGGGGAGGGGTGGACTAGGATTTGGTCTGTGAAGCAGCGACGTGCTGCTCTGCTCCTCACAGGTTAGTTTGTGAGTCAGCCCCTTCAGGTTGAACAAACCAGCATCAAGGCCTGGTTTGATCCTGAAAGCCTTCCTGACTGAAGCGGGAGTTAAACTACAGACCGTGTTCCTCGTTATGAGCGAGTGTGTGTGGGCACCACTGACAGGAAGTGGCTCTGAGTGGGAGGAAGCAGCAACATACAGCCGTATTGTTTCAAAGTGAGAGAGGCGGTGAAGACGAGCTTGGATCTGTGCGACGGACGTTTCATCCATTTGTCTGCTTGACGGACAAACGACAAATGATTTTTGTTGTTTGTAAATATTTACATACAACTTTTTGTACATCGTGTTTCTGTCATGACCATTCGAGTGATTTAAAATGGCTGCTGCTGCGACACGTGTGTGTGACAGTGCGCAGCGTTCATCGGTCCATCATGCTCAGGATCATCTCGGGGGTCAAGTCTCCGTTGGCGGCAGCAGCAGCCGTTTCCTCACTCATGGAAAGCTCCAGAGTCTCCATCCCGTCATGGTCCTCCACCCCCTCCTCCACCGTCAGGGTCACCGCCTCCGCTGGGGCATCGCCCTCCTCCTTCAGGATGACCTCCTCCACCTCCCCGGTGCTCTCATCCTCCACCTGAATGATGGCAGCAGCTACACAACAACAAACACACGGTGTGGACTCGTGAATGTGAGAAAGGTCAAACACAAGCGAACAGAAAAACCAGACTGAAGGTTCGACCTTCTGCAACCGTTTCCCTGAGACCAGCTGCCTTGGCGGGGCGCTCTTTGTATGTTCTTTGTGTGGGGAGGGGGTCAGGACAGGACGGAGACACGTCTGTGTGCTGACCGCCTGCTAGCTTAGCGCTACGTAGCTGTCGGGTTTTATGGGGGGTCGGTAGGCAGGGTGCTCGGTTCTGTTGACGGGGCTTGTATAATGGTAGAGAAACAACATCTCAAGGTCACGTATTCATATTTAATATCTGCATCGATTTTATGTCTATATTCTGATTTACTTCATTTTGTATTTTGCTTCGTGTGTTGTCTGTTGTTCTGTGTGTTCAGCACTTTGGTTGGCCTTGTAGCTGTTTTAAGTGCTCTATAAATAAAATGGTATGGTACGTGATCCACAAGGTCAATTCCAAGGTCATAGGAAAGGTCAAAAGGTTTGAAAACCTCATCAAATTCTCTTTCCAATGACACCAAGTCCGTGAAATGGACCCAGTAGTTTAATTGTTGCAGATCAGTGACCACGCCCACTTTCACCAAAATCGGTCAATTTGTGGGACCACTGGTCCGACTGACCTAAAATTTAAGATCCTGCGCTGTGGGACCATAAATAACAAATAAACCAAGTTTCATCAAATCCAAGATGGTCAGTTTAAACCTGTTGGGTGATTTGGTACCTGGAGGAAAAACTTCACCACGTTCTTCCAGAACTGGATAAATTCAGTCCAAAATGAAAGTTTACTAAACGTTTAGATCAGTTTTTGATCGCTGATGTTTTTCCATGTATTTGTTTAACTGTCTGTTAGCAAAATATCTTGTAAACTTGAACTCACTGTTGATCTACAACTGATAAACTTTTGGAATCAGCCCATTTCCAGATGGCTACCACTGCTAATCGATGCAGCAGGGACGTGTTTCCTTCAAGGAACGACGGGACATTATTGTAAATGAGCTTTAGCCACGTTAGGTTTAAAACAGTTACAACAAGCAGCTGCATGTTTTACTGGACCTGACTGAGCAGTTGAAAAAATGAAATGTGCACGTTTGAGATGGTGCCAGCATGCTTACCAGCAGCAGGTGCTCTGGCAGCCATTTTCACTGACTTGCTGGGAGCTGGAGGCTTCGGGCTGTTCTTTGGAGGTCGGCCTCGTTTCCTCTTGGCAGGAGGCTCATCAGGAGCTGGTACTGGAATGGCAGCAGGAGCTTGATCCAGTTCAATGGTTTCTAGTTCATCCTCTTCCTGTAGTAATGCAGCTTCCTCCTCATCCTCAGCTTCATCTTCATCGTCCTGTTCCGGCTGATCCTCCTCTGAGCGACAACAATCAAAGGAGACACATTAAATGACGTGACGACCAGCACAACCTGCAAACAGCACCAGAACGCACCACTGTCGTCCTCGTCTCTCCTGCTCCTCATCTTCTTCTTTCTCCCCCGCCTCCCTTTCTTTGGGCTCACCCCTCCATTCTCTGCATCCTCCACTTCACCACTACAGTTCTCAGAGTGGCGAACCATGGTGTTCTAAAAAACAAACAAATCAACAACAACAACAATAATAAATACAACACAGACTATGAGGGGTGGCACGGTGGAGCAGTTGGTAGAGCTGTTGTCTGTCAGTGAGAAGATCTCTGGTTCAAATCCCGGCCTGGGGCTGTTCTGGGTGGAGTTTTCATGTTCTCTCCGTGCTGTGTGGGTTTTCTCCCACAGACCAAAAACATGCATGTTAGGCTGCCTCAGGCCTCCCCTACAGAAGAGATCTGTGATCTCAATGGGATTTGTCTGGTTAAATAAAGGTCAAATAAAGGTCAATAACTATGGAGGCTGACTTCCACCCCCTTGCCCTCAGAGCGATTGCTGACTGTCCATAAGTTATAAACAGAACTGGTGACAACGTGCACCCAGTTGGAGTCCAGCTCTCACACCGAAGAGGTCCGATTTACTGGAGGCGAGCGGTGAATGGTCTGTAGGAACGGACCCCCAATACAATTCTTACGGAGCATCCCCCACGGTGTACCTCAGGGAACATCCACAAAACACGTCAACTGTTTGGGACAACTCCCATGTCCCCTTGAGGACCCTAGTGTGGGTTAAACAGAATGGACCAACCCCAAAGTTCCCTGACTCAGCTTCCTCCATGGAAAATGTGCTGGTCTGCAAAGTATTCGTCCACGCACCCAATGACATCACCAGTTGAGGCCAACAGTACCCCACCTTCACACACAAGGTTTGTGAAGTCCTGCTTTCCTTGCCTGAGCCGTCTGAAGGTTTGAATCTTCTTGGACTGAGTCTCTAACGTATGAAGCCTTAATGAACTACTCCCACATCCAAGAAGTCTTTATCTTAGCAGCAGCCAGGGCTGCAGCCCACCCAGTACCCCTCAGCTGCCTCTGGAGGAACTCCTTCTTCAGTGTGACAGCCCACATCACCCGGGGGGTCCACCATCAGGTTTGAGGACAGCAGTCATGAGAGACGTGACAATCTTATCATCCTGAGATTATATTTAAAAGTGGGCAAACTGCACGAGTGCAGAGGAACGTTGTGTTTGGCAGAAAAGTCAGAATGCAAAGCTTACTTTATGAGGACTTTGTCTTTAGTGTAAATAACCACTGACTGACCGTCGACCATCTAACGCAAACGTGAAGACACTGAAGACATTTTAAAACGGTAGTCTGCTGTGAGGCGGTTTTAAAAAGGCAAAGATGTGCTTCGGCCTCATGTTCCAGACAGGTGAGCACTGAATACTCCAGGTAAGACACTGACTACTGGTGACTCCACACAACACCACTTCTTTATAAACCCTCCCCCAGGTGTGTCCTCACCCTGCGTGTGAAGGTCTTGTTGCACTTGGGGCAAACAAAAGCGGTGGGGACAAAGTTGGGGTCGTGGTAGCGCTTGAAGTGCATGTCCAGGAGCTGCTTCTGTCTGAAGGTCTTCTCACACTGGCTGCAGGCGTACGGTTTCTCTCCAGTGTGTGTGCGGCGATGCATTACCATGTGACGCTCCTAGACATGACAACACATCCACAGAACAGAGCGTCACAAACAATAATTCATGTTTCGACGTCAGAGGACGACTCACTCTGTAATAACACATTTAAACTTTACGCTCGCAAAGGAAATAAACTTCAAACTTTGAGTAGTTCCAACAAAACATCAATATTCTGGATATTAAAGGTTCCACAGGGAACACGTTTCTTAAATATTAAGATGTTTTCTTCATGTTTTTGAAGTTGTACTTTACTTCTTTGGTACGAGGGTCCCTGTTCGGTACAGTACAAGAAAAATAAAACGTTTCCTAACGCCGGTTGCTTTGTTTCCTTCAAGGAAGCGGGTCATGTGCACGCAGTAATGTACGCCTTCACTAACTACTGTTACTCCAGAGAGGGATTTCTTAACAATATATTACAAAAAATAAAAGCAAAGTATGTTTTCTTCTATTAATTGGACTCAAACTTTAAGCAAAATTAAATTTGACACAAAACATGGAATAAAACTATTACTGCTGAGTCTTCTCCTTAAAATACAGGTTGTTAGAAAGAGTGCATCTACAGTGTGGACTTCCACACAACATGATGCTAATGATGAAGATGCCTTTGTTGCTTTATGGCTCGGCCAGCTCGTGACAGAAAACTTGCTGTGGGTATACCAGGCACGATGCATGAGGTGCTGTACTAATAGGATTACGATAAAGATGGTTGAGCAGCAACGAACCTGGCGGCAGCAGTAGTCACACATGTCGCACTTGAACCTCTTCTCATTCTTGTGGGACTTCTGATGCTGGATCAGAGCGTACCGCTCATGAAAAACGGCGTCGCAGTAACGACACTTCTTTCCAGTCTCGATGAAGGAGTGCTGCTTGCGAAGATGCACGCCTTGACAAAACAAACAAGCAAAAAACAAATAAGAAAAGTAAAAACACTTTTTTTGTCTCAGGTGAACAGTGTGCTTTACCCAAGTCACTCTTGCGTGCAATGACCGTGTCACAGTGTGGACAGTGGAATTTGGCCACGTTTTCCGTGTGTTTCTGCAGAATGTGCATCTTCATGGTGCCGCTCTGGGTGAAGCGGGCGTGGCAGATGTAGCACTCATAAGGTTTCTCCCCTGAAAACACACAACACGTGTAAGATTTACTATTATAGGGTTCCTTCTAGGAGAACTGACACAAGCACAAACAAATACACTAGGCACTAGTTGTATTTAGCTGCATTTAGCTGACAGCCACAAGAGACAAAAAGCAGAAGAACCTCCAGTTTTAGCTTCTCTCCATCGGCTCCTTGTCAATTCCAGAATTCAAACTCCTACTTTGAACCTACAAAGCCCTCAACAACCTAGCTCCATCTTATATTACAGATCTTATTGTTGCATATTTTCCCAACAGATTTTTTTCTTTAGAAAACAAAATAAAATCTGGAAACACAACCAAACTCCAGACTTTTACTGGAGCCTTGCTATTATCCTTGTAGAGACTAGAGCCGAACAGAACCCAAACGATATAAACTGGGGAGGAAGAAGGACAACACAATATAGTAAATGTTAAAAAGGCAGATTTGTAGCCAGTTTTGAATGTCATTAAATAACCTGAGTAGAAAAGTTGTTAAAAGAAGGTGAGCAACACGACAAGTTAAACTGAGGCTACATGAAATAAAGCAATGACAAGTTGTATGTATACACAAAAGGATGGTAGGTGACCCTCTTACCTGAGTGTGTCCTCATGTGTCTCTTCAGCTTGTATGTGTCTCTGCTGGCGTAGCTGCAAAGACTGCACTGGAATGGACGCTCACCAGTGTGGGAACGGATGTGACGCTTCAGTTTGCTCACCTTCACAACAGACATACAAGCACACGTCAAATTCACCCTTTGTCTAAAAAAACACAAGGAAACGAGAACTGGTTTTACCTCCACACTGGCGTAGTCGCACATGGAACATTTGAAGGGTTTCTCATGCGTGTGTTTGTAGCGACGGTGACGGACAAGCTCTCCGCTGGTCACGAACGCCATATCACAATCTGTGCATTTGTGTGGTCGAGTTCCTGGATCAGCAAAAATGACGTAGCAGTTAAAAACAAAAAGCCCATTCTTTTGTAGTTGACGGCTCTCTGGAGAGTCAGGACGTACCCGTGTGTGTGTTGAGGTGGTTTCGGAGCAGAGTCACCGTCCTGAAGGCTCGTCCGCACAAGTGACACTTGTGCGGTCTCTCGTCGGTGTGGCTCTTCATGTGCCGGTCCAGGTTGGAGCGGCGAGGACACGTGTAGCTGCAGAGCTCACACTGAAACGTCTTCTTCACTCCTGACGTGAACAGACACACAAACACGGTCTCAACACGCAGCTTTAACAAACATTACCGTCTTTAACTCACACTTCCCACCCCGTTCTATTTAAACAGGATAGTTTTTCAATCTTTCAGCTGACTTGTTCCAAATCAGACAACAATAAGTTACATGCGTTCAAGTTTATTTCATTGTGTCGAATAAACAAGTTCAGATTTCTTCCACTCAAAAATAAAAGCACAAGAAGTAAATGTTTTTCCTCTGTCATGTGCATCTCTACAGAAACTCTTGTGGAAGTTATCAGAACCAGAACAAGCTTTATCATCAATGCACCGAGATACAACGACAACATGCACGTACAGTCGTCCGAAAGAGGACGGAGTGCACGTAGCTGCTGCTAAAAAGCGCGGCCTTCTTATCTTTTTCAGAATACATTTTTAGATAGAAAATATTATTATAGATTATTAAAACTAAACGAGCTGTACGTCGATGCCCCCATCGCTGAGGGACTTGCACACTGAATGTTTGTAGTTTTTGAGCCGAGTGTTTTTCTGGACTGGAGGTGAACAGAGAACGAGGCAAAGCTTAAAGCCGTGGAGAAGAGCGATGTTTGTCTGAGGCAGCACAGAGCGATGGATCCTGAAGGGTGGAAGGAGCAATTTTATAAACCACAGAGTGCAATGACGGAGTCAGGGGGTGGGCAATGGTGGCCTTGGCCCCCAATGATTAATTTTAAGGGAAGAACAATCCCAACCATTTGAGGAAACTATTTTTAGGCAATATAAAAACTAGAAAACAGTTTCCTCAAATGATGGGGTGTTTGGCTTACACACACACACACACACACACACACACACAAGTTTCAGTGGGGTGGGGGCAGGATGCGTGAGAGAACACACACACACATACAGTGTTTCTGCTACCATCATACAAGCAGGGCGCCCCACCCTGTCAAGAGAACTGAGCGCCCTGCTACCGAACCCACCCCCACCAACAACTGCCAGCACTGATGTAGCTAAGCTAGCAGCGCGCAGTACAGAAGTGCTAGCTAAAAAGCTCAGTTTCCCTCATGCACAGCAGTCTCCACCCCCCCGCTTGAAAACTGTTGGTACAAACGGCGCACAACACAGACGTCTCCACCCCCCACCCCATGCACGGATGGTATTTCCAGTTCCCCGTCTTCAGTCCAGGGAGTGGGAGACGTCAAAATCAGTGTAACCTGTAGCGTGCCGTCTCACCTTTCTTCTTGATTTTGGTAGGCTTGGGGGGCTTCATGGTACCAACAACCTTCTCTGCGTTGACCTCCGACAAAAGACCCTCCTGCTGTTCCTCTTCAAAGTCGTAGACACTGACATCCATATCCTTATCACCTTCAGTGTAACGCAGATGGCTCTTCTTAGCCTGCATGAGCAGCAAGTTCAGTCAACCTGCGGAGAACAACCCCCAGCCCCCCCAAAAAGAATGAGCACACATTACCTTTTTGGCCTTCTTGATCGCTCCTGAAGGAGTTAGAAAGTCTGAGTCTTTGGACCAGCTTGTGTCATCATTCAGAGACTGAACGGGCTCATCCACGTCTTCTTCCAGCATCTGGCTTCCCACCTCCTCAAGCTCCCCCTCTTCTTCAATCGGGGCTTCTGCTCCCTTTTCCCCCTCCACTGTTTCCACCTCCCCATTAGCACCAACCTTAACCACCTACAACAACAACAGCAGTTTTTTATTTACTCGCATAAACATAACAGACTTCTCGAGAATTCCCTTTAAAAATCCAAAGAGGAATCACAAATTAGTTTAGCCTAAAATATACAATTATTTCCAGAAACGTGATCAGCATGGAGTAGGTGTGGAAGGGTTTGCTAAATCCACCATCGCTGATGTCCCCCGTCTCTGAGGGATTTGAATAATGAATGTTTGTAGTTTTCAAGATGAGTGTTTTTCTGGACTGGAATTGAACAGGGAATGTAAGTAAACCTAAACGTTTTTAGTGCAAGATATTCAAGTGGGCACCACCACTAGGTGCGATGGGGGCCTTGGCCCCCACAGATTAATCTTTGGCCACCCCAATCATTTGAGGAAACTTTACATTTAAGCAATATAAAAACAAGAAAACAGTTTCCTCAAAATACTGGTGGCAGGTTTAAATACACTGATGCTCCCATTTGTCATGAGCTGAACTCAAAGATCTGAGACTTTTCTTTGTACACAAAAAGGTTTTTATCTCTTAAATATGGTTCACAAGTTCATGTAAATCTGTTAGTGAGCGCTTCTCCTTTGCCGAGATGATCCATCCACCTCACAGGTGTGGCAGATCAAGATGTTGATCAGACGGCATGATTATTGCACAGGTGACCACAATAAAAGGTTTTATCACGCAGCACGATGACACAGATGTTACCAGATTTGAGGGAGCAGCAGTCGGCTGCTGACTGCAGGAATGTTCATGCTCAGAGGATTTGTCAGTACATCCTCACAGCCACAGACCACATGTAACCACGCCAGCCCCCGTGTTCGTTGTCCATAACATATGACTGTCCATACCATAACCCCACCACCACCAACTCTATTCACAACCTGTGTGTTCCTCATGTGCAAAAACTAACAGGATCCACACGTCCTGAACACACAGGTGAACCAAATCCCCTTTTTTCCTAAAACCATCCCATCCCAAATATTTAGAGCTCATTAGGTTCCCCTTTAAAGACAACTGGATTTCTTCTTTTGATTCTTGAAGACTTTTGAGATTTCAGATGATCTCAGCCTCAGTAAGATTCTTGAGAACAGATATCTAATTTGCCTCCTACTCTGTGATTAGGATCCTCCTGTCCTGGATGACTGAGAATCACCTACACCTGAGGGTACCCAAAATGGAGCTTTGTTAAGAAAGTAATTTGTTGTATGAGCTTTCAGTGGTGGGCAATTCATCCCTTAAAAAACTGCACCAGTGGATCCCCAGTCAGTTAAAAGTATTCCTTGGTAATGGCTCAGCTGCTGATGGTTGTGTTCTCTGCCTGTGTACCTGAAAGCCTTCGGGAAGAGGCAATGTGTGACAGATGACTGGGTCTCCATCCTTTGGCATTGAGGTGGTCTCTACAAACGTGCCTTGCTGCAGGGCCTCAACAGTAGTGGCAGAAACCGGCACCTGGACCAGCTGGAGTTCCCCCAGGCCCAAGGCTGCTTGCTCTTTTAAGTTTACCACCTGAGAACACAGAAAACTGCAAGCTGAGGCTTTGGAGACATTTACCAAGACCGACTGAAAACTGTGGAATCACTGAACTTCAGAAAAGACCCGGATCATTCAAAACGAACACTTACCTGTAAGGTGATGATCTGAGTCTGGTCCACTGTTGCCATGGCAGCCTGATGAGCAGCGCCTGCAACTTCTCCAACTAAGCCCATTGTAGCCACTGACCCAGCGAGTGCAGGATCCATTACCTGTGGAATAAACTTCTGTCATCTTAGCAGGATGTACTTAGTTACTTTCAGCTACAGGTTAATCCATTTCAAAATCTACAACAGCTCTATGACGTCTGACCAAAGCCCGATTACATCTGGGACTCTGACAGGAACCCGGAACGTGAAGCTGGACTGGGTTCAATCCTCCCCGTCAGCTGGTTCCACTACAAGTTTTAAGTCTGTCCTAAATTAACCTGAACTGTCAGATGTGCTGAGCAAAGATATTCTAAGATGAGGTGTGTGTTGTGTTTGTTGAACATGTGCACACAAGAGGGGGTAAATAAGACATTTTAAATTTATCTGGCAACCTTCATCACCCATGCAGCGTCTGCATGACACTTAGTCCAAACTGGTGAAGACACTAACGTCTCTTTGGAGCCTGGACTTTATTAGTTTTGCTCCTACATGATGGAAAAGGCTGAGCAGCACAAAAACACTCTCTGACATTTATTATAACTGTTGTTATTTATTATAACTGTTGTTATTTATTAT